ACCTTGGGCGGGCATCGCACAAGGTCCGCGGGGTTGAGCACCCCGACGTTGTTCCTCTTGAGCTTGCCCGCCCGCGCGGGGGCCTTCGGGCCCCTGGTGTCCTCATCGGGGCATTTGGCCTGCAGGCGCCGCGCCTTCGGTGGCTGGGCCGTCGTGGCTCGCCGTTGGTCGTCAGGCATCGGGCCCCGCAATGGCAGCGCCATCGCTGGCTACGTCGGCCCCCCGCCTCCTCTTCGAGGGAGGGGAGCTGCGCCCAGCGGTCCGCGCGGATGACGGCCCCGCAGCCTCCTTGGTTATCCCAGGTCTTGCTTGCGTCGCACGCGTAGCACGCGTTTATCGCGGACTGGTCGCCCGAGAAAAACTGGTCGGAGTAGTCAGCCATATTGCGGCAAGCTTCCTGCGCGGCTGCGTCGCCGCCCGCCCCCTCCCTGAAAACCCGCCAGTTGCCTGGGTGCACGGCCGCGCGGTCGCGCGCCTCCAGCTGACCTTTCTCGCCCTCCTCGGCCGCGCACGCAGCGCCCCCCGCTTCGATTTCAGCTCTCGCCGCGCGGCCACCCTCTGCCGCTGCGCCCAGCTTCTCGAACCAGATCTCCTAGCCCCTCGCACAGCTCACCGCTCGGATCACGTCGCCCTTCTTCTCGAGAGTGGCTCCGAGGGCCCCCCCTCATGTGCGTCTGCAGGGTCTCGTACCGCACTGGGCCGTCGCACCTCGCCGCGCGCTCAAGCGTCTTCTTGGAGTAGCCCATCCTGATAAGGGAGTGGACGTCGGCAACGTCATCGACCAGCTTCACGCCACGTTCCTCTGACGCGGGCTCGTGGCCCGCCGATGCTTCGGAGCGCGGCGTCGCTGTCATCTCCCAGTTGGCCGCGTCGTCCTCGGCAGGTGGCGGAGGCGCACGGGGCTGCCCCGGTGCGCCCGCCACCGCCATCGGGCGCCCGACCTCCTTTGCGACCTCCTCCGTGGCGGGTGGCGCCCCCGTGCTGGACTTTTCGATGCTCATGCCCACGCCCGCCGTGGCGCGCCGCAGGGCCAGCTCTACGTTCTCAGAGAGGGCGTAACCCACCAGCCCATCCAAGCTGTCTCTGAGCACGTTGAAGGACTCCTGGAACTTGGGCCACACGGTCACGCGAGTGCTGGATTGAGCCAACACCTTTGTTCGTTCTCGCCGCCTTCGTGACTACGACTTCTTCTTCTTCTAATACTACTACTACTACTACTACTACTACTACTACTACTACTACTACTACCACTACTACCACTACTACCACTTGTACGACTACAACTACGACTACTCCTACGACTACGACTACGACGACGACGACTACTCGTACTACTACTACTACTACTACTACTACTACTACTACTACTACTACTACTACTACTACTACTACTACTACACGACGACGACGACGACGACGACGACGACGACGACGACGACGACGACGACTACTACTACTACTACTAAGATTACTACAACTACTACTATCACGACAACTACTACTACTACGACGACGACGATTACGACTAGTTATTACTAGTATTGCGACTACTACTACTACTACTACTACTACTACTACTACTACTACTAACTACCTTTACTAACTCTCTACTATCTACTACTACTACTCGCTACTACTACTACTACTACTAACTACTACTACTACTAAACTACACTACGAAACTGCGACGACTACTACTACTACCGACTAACTACTAACTACTTTCTACGACTACTACTACTAAACTACTAACTATTACTTACTACTAACTAAACTAGCTACTACTACTAACTACAACTACCACTACTACTACTACACTACTACTACTACTCCGACTACTGACACTACACTTACTACTACTACTCTACTACTATACTACTATACTACTACTACTACAGTTACTAGTACTACTAACCTACTACGCTACTTCTAATAATACTACCACTGAGACTCTACTACTACTACTACTACTACTACTACCTACTGCTACTAACTAGTACTATTTTTGTACTAGTACTAGTACTAGTACTTACTACTCTAATACCACTACGACTGCTACTACTACTGATCCTACTACTACTATTACTAATCAAACTACTCATTACACTACTACTATTACTGCTGCTACTACTACTACTATTACTACTGCTACTACGACTGCTACTACTACTACTACTACTACTACTACTACTACTACTACTACTACTACTACTACCACTACTACTACTGATGTACATGAACGCAATAATCGTCAACAACTGACCACCCCCATTGCCGCTAGAAAGCGCAAGGGTTACTTACTGCGAAGAGGACCTCAACCGATGGGGGAGCTAGTGGGGGGAAGGAGGACGATGATCATGTTTTCCAGTGGGCATCTGCGAAGAAGTGTCCCGACGAACTTGCAGCACACGACCCGCAACGAGGGGCACCCCCGAAACGCCATGCCCAGTGCCCATGGCCGCCTCTAGCCGCTGGGCATTCTCTAAGAGGCGGACGACGTTCAGCCGCGAGGCGCCCCCGAACCAGGGCGCACGGGCGGGCCCGTCGGCCACCAATGCCGAAGGCCGACACGAGCCAGAAGAGCCAGACCGAGCGAGAAGCACGGCCAGGCGAGCGCGCGGATCAGATGCCCGGGCGGACGTGGAGCGCCGTCAGCCGGTCGCAGAGGACGCCCTTCCCCGCCGCTGCGGCGCGCATGAGGATCTGAAGGCCCTCCTCGGTGGAGCGTTGAGTCGGAGAGGTCGTCGAGTCCATATCGACGGTCGCCTGAGCAGCGGCACGGCCATCTCCAAACTCCGCACCCGATGCCAAGGCCAGACTGACGCAATCGGGAATCTCCAGCCCGTCACATGATTCCAGCGATGACGAGGACGGCGACGACGACCATCACCACCACGGCGACGAGGACGACAACATCAAGCCCGCAGCCCGATGCGCGTCACTCACAGCTCGGTGCAGAGCCGAGGCTCACACCCCACCAGCCCGACTGCATGGGGACGGTCACGACCCAGACTCCCGACGGATTGTTTTTGTCCCGTCCCGACAAAGTGTGGCTCTTTCCCGGAGGAGGAGGAGGAGGAGGAGGAGGAGGAGGCGGAGGAGGAGGAGGAGGAGGAGGAGGAGGAGAAGGGGAACGACAATTCGATAGGTTAGAAAGGCCATCGCGAGCCCAAATGCTGTCCACTCGCCCCTGCAAGGACAAGCACACAACGCCGCAGGACCTTATCCCGCGCCGGAGCCAGCTGCCTAGAAGGCCCAGAGCACAGACTCCCGACGGTTTGGTACTCTCAACCCGCGGGCCTCAGAAACCTCGACCCCCCCCTTCCCCTGGAAGGGGGGGGGGGGGGCAGGCTTCCGCCCCCGACCCACTCCTAGGAAGGCCCCCCCGCGGGACCGGAAGCAGCCCCCCGACGGCCAAGATCGTGGAACAACGCCGGGGCTCAACAAAAAAAAAACGGAGCCCGCCCGAGGTCTGGGGAGAGAGGAGGACGAGGGCCCCAGAACTCCGACGTCGCGACGTGTTCGCGACGTCGGCCCCGAGAGGTATGGGCCCCTTCCCCGGGACTGGGGCCTTCAGGCCCGGGAAGGGCGCCCAGAGGCCGTAAACGGCCAACGAACATCCTCGCGTGATTCCTTTGGCGACGCGCCGGGGGGGAAGTGAGAGGGGGCAGGCCTCCTCCGAAGGCGCAGGAAGTTTTGCAGAAGGTGCGAGGGCTTCTGAGAAGCCCCGCCGCCTCCTGAGAAGGCCTGCCCCCTCGATGATAGGCAAACTCGCGTTTTCAGCCTCTGCTGGCTACTAGGTGCTGCTGAGTTTGGCAGGCCCCGCTGGAACTACCAGCGAGCCCTCGGGACGAGGGGGCCCACAGGGCGCTACAAGCGCCACCTGCTCCAAATCAGCTGCGGCACACCTTGCTGCAAGCGGATCGTGACTCTGCACTTCCGGCCACTGACGCCGCAGGCCTTCGTGCTGCGAGTGCCCTCCCCCCCTCCCTCCTGCTCCGCGGCCGCCCTCTGCAGTGTCTCTTTCTCTCGCGCGGCCGGGAAATCGGTACGCTCTGCCCCAGCCACTGGAGCGCAGCGCGCGAGCGGCTCGCCTCTGCCGCGCCGCGACGGAGATGTGACTCTGCACCTCTCTCTCTCTCTCTCTCTCTCTCTCGGGCGCGCAGCCGAGAGCGGGGGGGATGGCGGAGATCTCCCCGGCAGCGGCGACAGGGGCGAACAGCCCCAGGGGCGGGCATGACACGCCTTCGCCCGGGAGCCTCGTCGAAGACATCGATCCTCGGCGCCCCTGGATGCATGTACTCCAGATTTCGTAATACAGGGAGGGGGGTCTCATTTCGGGGGGGGGTTCTCTTCCAGGCTATCTTGGAGGGCCTGGGGGGTCTGGGGACGATGTTTTGGAGGGTTCTCCCACGGGGGAGGTCTGAAATGGCTCGTCTTGGAGGGTCCAGACCCCCTCCCTTTTATTACGAAATCTGGAGTACTGTTCTCCCCTGGGCTATGCGCCCCTGTCGTCGCCTCTTGAGCTTCGGCTCGCGTCTGCGTGCCACGGCGGGCCTCCGGCGCCGCACGCGGAGGAGAAGGAGGCGCAGTGGCCGTCGAGCGTCCGCTCGCACTCGCCCGACGCCGCGGACCAGATCTTCACCGTGCAGTCGCAGGACGCGGTCAGCACCCGACGACCTGGGTCGCCTCCTCCCCCTCCTCCTGCCCAGATCTCTGGCGGCAGGCTCTTTTCGACTGGCTTCTTCCTCAAGCTCGGCCCGCGGGGGCCATCATCGGGCCCTGGGACCATCAACAAAAACGGATCCAGGACAAAAACCTTCCCCTGGGGAAGCGGTCGGAAACTCTGGGAGCCGCTGATGAAACAAATCTGCGGCTCTCTGGCTTCCTCCTTCCCCCACATCCTCCCCGTCCTCCACATCCTCCCTGTCCTTCTCTCCTTGTCCTCGTCCTCGGCCCAGTCCTCCTTCTCCTCCTCCTCCTCGTCCTCTTCCTCCTCCTCCTCCTCCGCACCGGGCACGTGTGCGGTCCGGCCTTTTGCGCAATTTGAGAGATGAAGAAAGAAATTAACAGATTGCAAGGATGCTCCACGGGCTACATGCATGTCAGAACGATCAGAATCATGTGCAACAAATAAACCAGAACGAGAGCGCACACGCCGAGGACCCTCGAAGTGGAACAGCGACCACGGACCTCTGGCATGCAAGGGGAAGTGCAACAGAGCCTCGCCGAGATGTCTGGGGAGGACCATCGTGCCTCCAAAACCCCAGTTTCGGAGCATCCAGGGGGGACAATTTTCAGAATCTGCCCGTATGGACGTTAGTTTGCAGAGACCGATGACGATGAAGATGTTTATGTTGTTGATGATGACGTTGATGATGATGACGATGATGATGATGATGATTATGACTATCCGCCTGCACGTGTCCTTGCGTGTACAGCGATGACGACCATGATGGGGATGATGGTGATTATGATGATGATGATGCCGAATTTCTTTTCCAGCCGCCGCGCAGTCCACACGACCGTGTCCTCCCAAGTGCTGCGTGCAACTGCTGCCACTACTACTACTACTACTACTACTACTACTACTACTACTACTACTACTACTACTACTACACCTACTACTACTACTACTACTACTACTACGACGACTACTACTACTACTACTACTACTACTACGACTACTACTAACTAGTACTACTACTACTAACTATGTGCTTCTTCTTCTTACACTACTACTACTACTACTACTAACTACTACTACTACTACTACGCTACGCTACGAGTACGACTACTATTGTTACTATTACTACTATACCACTACTACTACTAACTACTAATCTAACTACTACTACTACGACCTACCACCACCTACCAAAATACGACCACTACTACTACTACTACTACTACTACTACTACTACTACTACTACACTACTACTACTACGACTACGGTACGATACGAATTGTTACCTATTACTACTACTACCACTACTACTACTCACTACTACTACTACTACTACTAGCTACTACTACGACCTACCACCACCACCCAAAATAAACGACCACTACTACTACTACTACTCCTACACTCTGCTACTGCTACTGGAAAACTAGTACTACTACTACTACGACTACGACGAGGACGGGCACTTCCACGTTTACGACTACTACCACTACTGCTAATACTAATACTCCTACGGCTACTACTACTACTACTACTACTACTACTACTACTACTACTACTACTACTACTACTACTACTACTACTACTACTACTACTACTACTACTACTACTACTAATACTACTACTACTACTACTACTACTACTACTACTACTACTACTACTACTACTACTACTACTACTACTACTACTACTACTACTACTACTACTACTACTACTACTACTACTACTACTACTACTACTACTACTACTACTACTACTACTACTACTACTACTACTACTACTACTACCACGTATGCGATCCACAACGGTAGCGGCTTAGTGAAGGAGGCGCCGATGATACCTGGAACATGTTTGAGGAACGAAGTCGGCGGCGCAGAAGTCGGCAGTTCCATTGATGTTTTCCATGCTCCGCAGAGTGGACCGCACACGTGCCCGGAGCGTCCTCCTCCTCCTCGTCCTCCCCCATATTTTTCCTTATGAGCGGCTCCTCACCGTCGCACCCCCAAACGTGTCGGTAGGGAGGGTCGAGAATTTCGCCATCGACTACCTCGCCACCTGTGATCGAGCAGCTTGAAGTTTGCAGCAGTTTTGCGGATGGAGGGCGGATCTTCTTCAAAATGTGACTCTCGCCTCAGCGCCGAGCGCACTCGTCTCAAACATCTGCGACCGCTTCGCGTCTCGGGGGAGGGGCGTGCGCTGTCAAAACGCGCCTCTCGCCCCAGCGCCGCGCACAAGCAGAACACGCTCGCAACACCTCCACGGATGGATGGGCGGGCAGCTTTCCGATGTGGCCCTCGCCTTCGCGCCGCGCACGTGCGCCTCAAACGTCTGCAACGGCTCCGCGGACGGAGGGGAGGGAGCCGCTTTTGAGCGCGGGGCCCTCGCCTTGGCGCCGCGCACGGTCGTGCTTCCTTTTGAGCGCGGGGCTCTCTCTCTCTCTCTCTCTCTCTCTCGAGAGAGAGAGAGAGAGAGAGAGAGAGGAGAGAGAGAGAGAGAGGGGAAAGGGGGGGGGAGAGAGAGAGAGAGAGAGAGAGAGAGAGGCGAGTCCTCGCGCTCAAAAGCAGCCCCCTGCTACGAGAGGGTGCCGCTTTTGAGCGCGAGGACTCGCCTCAACATGTTGTAGCACACTCGGGGACTGATCACAGGTCATTGGCACAATGGGGCTCTCGCCGCAGCGCCGCTCGCGCTCACCTTGCACGCGGCATGCAGCAGGATGGCAGATTGCCCTTCACCAGGAATGGAGCTCTCACCCGACGTTTCGCACAGTTTCACGAGCCGAAACCTCAACGCACATAGCACTGCATGGATTCATTGCGACTTTTTCTCAAAAAGGAGCCGTTGCTTGAGACTCCCTCGAGCTTCAGGGCTACAGTTGCATAATTGTCCAGCAGTTACAAGGACGGGGGGCACACCCTCTTCGAACGGGAGATCTCGCTGGACACCTCGTTGAACTATACGATCATAATCTTTCGCGCTCCTTATTACGTGCCAGGAGGATTCAAGGCAACTGCTTGTCAAAGCAAGGTCCTCGCCAAAATGGCCGGCCCAACTGCGTGTGAGGAGGAGACTTGGGACGGGAGGGTGTATTGCAGCATCTCTTATGCACCGTTGGTGTACTCTGGTCCTCCTCCTCTTCACTCCTCCTCTCTCCTTCTACATGCTCCCTCGGCCCTCCAAACTCCTCGCCCTCCCTCCTCATACTCCGCCGTTCTTCCTCATCCATCTCCTTGCTTCCTCCCTCCGTAACATATTCGCCTCATGTTGATTCAAATTTGGCTTGATCGCTCGGGGGGTCGCCCGATGGCCTCAGACCTCCGCCGAGGTGATGTTTTCACAACGTTGGCCCCCAAGCTTTTCATTCTGGACCGTCTTTTGACGGTCCCGAGGCCAGGCGAGGGCTCCCGGAGACCTTCGCGGCCCCGAAGATTGCCTCGCCGCGCCCCGTCGGCAACGCAACATTCGCGGCGTGTTCCAGCTGTTGAGCAGGGGCCGACCGTCCTGGCATTTCTACGACATGTTGTTAGAACAAAAGAATGTTCGAAAAACAACACGGAGTTTCTCACGAAGTTTCTTACAACATAGCTTGCGCATTGAAGCAGCACTGCCTCAGCCAAACATGTTCTAAGACATGCGTGCAAACCACAAGAGGCTCTTAGAACATTCTCTAGTGCGACCATAAGCAAGTCAGGACGTTTCGCGACTGCTTGAAGGTGCAGGCAGAGCTGCGAGGCTGCCCCCTCCGCTCCTAGGTGGCGAAATCCGAACCCTACCCCCACCACCCTTCGATCTTCCCGAACCGATGGGAGGCGATGGTGGGGCTCGGATTTCACCAAGTGCTCGACGAATTCCGAACCCCATCGGCCGCCGCCCCATCGAGCTGCACGAATGTGCCTCCGCTCCTCGAAATCATTACGAAGTCCGCCACCGTGCCCCCTGGCACGTTGGAGCGTGCTAGAATCACTGCTGCTGACTGGTAGGGTTGCCGCTGGGAGGTAGGTGGGTGGGTCAGCTTGTCGGCGGGTCTGCTTGTCGGTGTTGGACGTGGCTGGTCGGTGGCCGTCGCTGGTGGCTGGTTGTCGTCGATGTCTGTCGTTGGCGGCTGGTTGTCGTGGGTGGCGGTTGCCGTTGGTCGTGGTACCTTTGCGTGGCCGGCGTAACTTGCCCACCGCGGTGCTTGCTCGTTAAAGCCGCTGTCGCAGCTGTCATAGCTGTCGTAACTGTGGGAGCCACCGTGGCGTGCGTGCTCGTAAGGACTCTCTGTCGTGGCTGTCGTGGCGACTGGCGTGGTGTGCTTGCTTGCCGAGTTTGCCGCGGTGGCCGTCGTGGCTGTAATGGTGGCCATCGTGGTGCGCGTGCACCTGGGAGTCGCTGTCGTGGCTGTCGTGGATGTCGTGGTGTCCGCTGTGCTGTGCGTGCTGCTGGGGGTCGCTGCCGCGGCTGTCGTGAGTGTCGTGATAGCCGCCGTGGTGCGCGTGCTCATAAGAGTCGTTGTCGTGGCAGCGGTAGCTGTCGTGGTATCTGCCTGGGTGCGCTTGCTTGTCGCGGGTGTTGCTATGGCTGCCGTGGGCGACGTGGCTGCAGCAGTGGTCGGCGTGGTGCGTGTCTGTGGGTGGGCTAAAAGTGTCCACACGTGTCTCGCCAAGACCTTGAGTTATTAAAGCACGTCGGACCAAATGTATACCCCCCCAGCCCCAAAATTCAAAGTTGACGGGTGTGGGCGGTAGGCCGCAGGCCAGGGACAAAATGTGGACACTTCAAATTTGATTTCGGGGGGTGGTGCTAAGCAAGGGCATTTCCCAGTTGTGCTTGTCATCATGCTGTATCGCCTTACCGCCATGGGTGTGGACACTTTTTGTCCGGCCACCGTTGCTCTCGAAAGTAGCTGACAGCATCGCCGTGGCATTCGTAAAACTTTGTATATATATACTCAGCACTGTAATAGGTACCTTCAAAGATGAGGCCGTGCCTCACATCTAGGCAGGGCCGCAAATTTTCAACTATGGATGGGACGCGGCCCGTGAGGTCGGTCAGTGCTTGAGTTGGGTCGTGCCGGAGTGGGCATCGAGGCTGTCGTGGCTGTCGTAGTGGTCGCCGTGGAGTGCTTGCTCGTGAGGGTCGTTCTCGTGGCTGTCGCGGCTGTCGTGGTGGCTGCTGTGGTGCCCTTGCTCGTAGGAGTCGCTGTAGTGTCTGTCGTTGCTGTCGTGGTGGCCCTCGTGGTGCGCTTGCTTGTGAGAGTCGATGTCGTGGCTGCAGTCGCCGTCGTGAAGGCCGCCGTGGTGAGCTTGCCTGTTGTGAAGGTCGCCGTGGTGGCTGTCGTTGCTGTCGTGGAGGCCGCTGTGGTGGCTGTAGTGGCTGTCGTGGTGGCCGCCGTAGCGCGCTTGCTTGTCGTGGCTGCCTGAGTTGTTGCCGTAGCTGTCGTCGTGGCCGTCGTGGTGTGCGTGCTCGAGGGTGTCGCTGTCGTGGCTCTTGTGGCTCTCGTGCTCGTGTGAGTCGTTGTCGTGGTCGATGTGGTTGTGGCAGTGGCCGTGAGGGCCACGCTGCTCGTGCTCGTGAGGATCGCTGTGGTGGCTGTCGTGCTTGTCGGTGGCCACTGTTGTGTGCTTTCTCGTCGTGGGTGCCCTGGTGGCAGTCGTGGCTGTCGTGGTAGCTGTCGTGGCGTGCCTGCCCGTGGGATTCATTCGCTGTCGTAGCTGTCGTGGGTGACGCGAAGGCCGCCGTGGCGCACGTGCTCCTGCGAGTCGCTGTCGTGGTCGACGTGGCTGTCGCGGTGACTGTCGTGACGTGAGTGCTCGGAAGGGGTCGTTGTTGTGGCTGTCGTGGTAGTCATGGTGGCCGCTGTTGTGTGCTTGCTTGTCGTGGATGCCCTTGAGGCTGTCGCGGCTGCCGTGGTGGCCTTGGTGGTGCGCTTGCTCGTGGTTGTCGCTGCCGTGGTTGCCGTGGCTGTCGTGAAGGCCGCCGTGGTGTAATTGCTCGTGTGAGTATGTAGCTGTCATGCTCGTCGTGGCTGTCGAGGTTACTGTAATGGTGTACTTGTCCGCAGGGGTCGCAATTGTGGCTGTCGTGGTTGTCGTACTGGCTGCGGTTGTGTGCTTTCTTGTCGGGGGATGCCCTGGTGGTTGTGCTTGTCGTGGTGGTCGCCGTTTTGTGCTAGCTTGTCGTGGATGCCCTGATGGCTATCGTGGCTGTCGCGGCTGACGTGGCTGTCGTGAAGGCCGCCGTGTCATGCTTGTTCGTGCGAGTCGCTGTCGTAGTCTTCGTCGCTGTTGTGAGGGCCGCCGTGGTGCGCGTGCACGTGAAATCAGCTGTCGTGGCTGCTGTAGTTAGTTGTCGTTGCGGCTGCCGTGGTGCGGTTGTTCGTCGAGCCTGCCGTAAGGGCCGCCGTGGTGCGCTTGCTTTTCGTTGTGGCCTCCGTGATACGCTTGCTCGTGAGGGTCGCTGTCGTCGCTGCCGTGGCGGACGTGGTGGTCGTACTGTCGTCGTTTGTGGAGCTCGTCGTGGAGTTGCCGGAGTAGGGCGCACTGGTCGTTGAACATTGTTGGAGTCTGGCGTTGTGCTCACTGTGCAGCTGCTGCTGTCTGTCACCGTGCTCGCTTTGTTTCTGTTGTGGTGCTGCTCGCGGTAGGTGTTGTGGTGGTGGCTGCGCGCTTCTATTGTGTTGTGGTTGGCTGTTGATGCTCGGCGCGCGTGCGGGTGGAGGCGGCGGCTGCCAAAGGCTTGGTCAGCAGGGGGAGCCAGCAAGTACGCAATTTTTGTGCACTTGGTTGTCACTGTATTGCTCGTGCGGCTGCAGGCCAGGCTTGAGTTAAGTAATCTGCTTGGTGGCCAGGTGTGAGCGCAAGATGTGTGCACGGCGGTCACGTTGTCTTCCTTTTGCCGAGCTGCTCTGGGGCTTAACGTGGAGCTGCTGGAGACGGTCGCCGTGCTCGCCTGCTAGGGATGGTCGTGGTGCTGGACGTCGTGCTGCTGAGGTCGGTGCTGTGAGTGCTGGTGGTGCTGATGTTGTTCGTTCTGAACGTCGTGATGCTGAGGCCGGTGTTGAGGTCGGTGCTGGACGTCGCAATGCTGGAAGTGCTGGTAGTGATCGCCGCACTGCTGAGGTCGGTACTGGACGTAGTACTGCAGAGGTCGGTGCTGGACGTCGTAGTGCTGGAAGTGCTGGTGGTGATGGTATTTGTAGTGCTGGAAGTGCTGGTGATGCTGGTTGTGCAGTTATTGATGCTTGTGTTGGTCGCACCCTCATGCTGGTAGTGTTCTTCCCGCTGCCCATGCCATCTATTTGATGGATCTGACCTTCCCATACTATGCCGTCGCAGGGTCGCCCAATACGATGGCGGCTCGAGGTCGGCATAGAAGAAAATTCTTCCATCGGCTGTTTCCCACGAGGATGTAGGAGATGTGAGAGGCAAGTTCAAGGACATGTGAAAGCGAGAAGAGGCACAAAAGGGGAACGGAAGGTGAGAACACGCCGCGGGCGCTGCCCTTGAGCGTAAATGGCTTGAGCCAAAATGGCTTGACCCAAATGGATGTTTTCTTTCGCGCACCAGATCCTGTCCTCTCAGGTGATCTCGGCGCGTTCCCAGCTCTCGATTCCGACCGTGCACACCCTTCTGCCTCGGGGAGGCCAGGATGCCCATCGCATCCGGTCGATCTCGACGAGTGCATTGCCCGAGCTCAAGCTGCATGGGCTGCTGCTTGGCCGAGTCGGTGTATCGAATACTCCTGGACATAAGCCGTAGCCGTGCAGGATGTCCGTGGCAGTCGTGGCCATGCTCTTTTCGCAGTTGCGATTCGCTTTCACCTCGTGCCTGCCCCATCGGTGGCTGCGTAGGCGGCCAACGCCGTCTGCGTGTCCCATCGTCGGCAGTGGGCAGAGCAGCAGCAGCACAAAGGCGCCTGTGAGAGCTGTTCCCCCCGCCTTTCCCAGCGCCAGCAGCAGGCATGGCCGGGGGCGGAAAGGTAAGTGCTGATGTAGTGGGAGTACGCAAATGCGTTGTGGCCTATGCTGTCAGCATGTCCCGACGTCGGAAATGGGCATAACAGCAGCAGGAAAGCGCCTCCTCCTCCTCCTCCGCCTCCTCCTCCGTCCTTGTCCTCCTCCTCCTCCTCCTCCTCCTCCTCCTCCCGCCTCCTTTTTCCTTCCTCCTCCTCCTCCTCCTCCTCCTCCTCCTCCTCCTCCACTCCTCCTCCTCCCCCCTCCTCCCTCCCCCCTCCTCCTCCTCCCCCCTCCTCCTCCGCCCTCCTCCTCCTCCTCCCTCCCCCTCCTCCTCCTCCCCCTCCTCCTCCTCCTCCTCCTCCTCCCTCCCTCTGGCCGTCGGGCGAGAAGGTGGCCCGGTGCACCGCCTCCTCGTGGCCCTCCAGGGCGAGAAGGCGCTCCCCCGAGGCGGCGGACCTGGGCGGCGGTGAGAGGGCGGCGGGCGCAGGGGCCGCTCCCGCCCTGCACGCCTCCTCCATGCAAACACACTTTTTCCCTCGAGCGTCCCAACCTGCGCGGCGGGAAGTGGCGATCAAACTACCCCAATCCGGAACCAGAAAGTGAAACAAGAAGGATGCAGCTGGGACTCAGGGGTCCGGCCTACCCCTGCAGGCTGCGGAGAGAACCCTCCATGCAAACACACATGAGCTCCACGCTGCGCATGTCGCCGCGCCGTTTGCCCCTCGACGCGCCCAAGTGGGCGGCGCCGACAGCGCGGCGAGACCACAGCAAGGCCTGCGTCCCGTGCCCCGGGCAGGCGAGGTCGGCACCGCGGCAGAGCCCACGGCGAGCCCCGCGCCCGGATCGGCGCCCGCCCCAAGACGCAAGACCGCCCGTCGGAACAAGCGGCGCGGCGAAACATCCTCCACTGCCATACGACTCAGATCGGTGGCGAGCGAGGGGGGGGACGTGGGAAGGGGAGGGCCTTCTTAGCAGACGGCGGGACTTCTCAGAGGCCCTCGCGCGCCTTCTGATAAGTCTTCCGTGTCTTCGGAGAAAGCTGCTCTCCGCCGTCTTTTTCGCCTGCTCGCTCTTGAACTTGGCGTGGGCGGCCCGCTCCTCCTTGCTCGCACGGTAGACGCCCCCCTCCTTCCTCTCCTCCTCCTCCTCCTCCTCCTCCAGAAGGCCTGGGCATGTCCGAGCCTTCTGAGAAGGCCCAGCCCTACAGTCGGACCTGGGACAGAAAGACATCCTTCAAGAACACGAGACCCCCCGCTGGCCAACACACACACACACACACCACACACACACACACACACCACACACACACACACACACACGGAGCATCCGAGGGCACCCTCCCAAGCATGCACAAGAGCATCCAACTAACACAAAGAAGATTGGGGTACCCTCCCCGAACCAACCTCGATCTTGTACCTCGGTCCGATCGTGCTCACTTCCCCCCGCGCTCGCCGCCGATCAAAGAGCCGCGCACGCTTCTCGATCTGCGCGTGCCGTCCCTGCGCGGGGGGGGGGCCGAGCCCGCCCTCCCGGCCGCTGCCCCTCTCCCCTCCTGCGCCTCCGCCTCCGCCTCCCCGTCCGAACGAGACGGCGGACGAGAACGACGGCGAGAACGACTAGGACAGCGGGGAAAAGGACGGCAAGCAGGAGGAGGATGAGGAGCAGCAGCAGCAGCAGCAGCAGGAGCAGGGGGGAGCAGGAGCAGGAGCAGAAGGAGGTGAAGGACGAGGAGAAGCAGAAGAGGGAGGAGGAAGACGAGAAGGGGGAGGAGGAAGACGAGGAGGGACGAGGAGAAGGAGGAGGAGCAGGAGGAGCAGGAGGAGGAGGAGGACGAGGAGGAGGCGGAGGAGGACGAGAAGGAGCCGCGAGGGACAGCGGCGGAGGAAGACGTGATAGAGAGAGAGAGAGAGAAGAAAGGGCGGCGGCCGCCACCGCCGAGGGGCCACGGCGGCCACGAGGCAACCAGGCGGCGGCCGCGCCGAGCCTCCCCCCCCGTGTGGAGCACCGGTGGGAATCCGCACGTCTCGATGCGCCTCCGCCTCCGCCAGTTCCTCCCCTGCTGCCTCCTCCCACATGTCATCCTCGTGTTCACCACCACCACCATGAACACCGCCACCATCATCATCCTCACCACCATCACCATCATCCTCATCGTCATCGTCATCATCATAAACCATCACCATCACCCTCACCATGACCATCACCATCACAACCATCACCATCATCATCAGCATCACCTGCACCAGCATCAACAGCATCAGTATTAGCATCATCATCAGCATCATCACCAGATATGCATCATCATAATCATCATCGTCAGCATCAGCATTTTCAGCATCACTGTCATCGCCATGATCATTGTCACCACCATCACCACTA